CCCATGAGGGCTACAAGGCTGCCCAGAAACTCCCAATACACTCCAAGAGCGGCCCGAGACTGTTTCCAATAGGCTCCTGACAGTCAAGACTCACTGATTCCCCCAAGGTTTCGTGAGAATTACACATTGTTTTGTCTTCAGACCATCCGAGCAGGCCTCAGGGACTCCCAACAGCGCCACAAGACAGCCCAAAAGGGCCCCATGAAAGCTCCCAGCTGGCCCTAATCCTACCCAAGACGGCCACAAGACGGCCGCGAACCGGCCCAAAAGGGCCCCAGGACGGCCCAAGAGAGCGCTAAGAAAGCGCCAAGAGGGCCCTAAGAGAGACACAGACGGCCTCGGAGAGCCCCAGACAGCCCAATGAGACCCCAAGACGCCCCAAAGGCGGCCCTGGGAGCCTCCAAGACAGCCCCAACGAGAGACCAAACGAAGTACGGGAGCGCCTCATGAGAGCTCTAAGAGCACCGCGCGATCGTCCAGTAATCCGGGGCCGCAGGCAGGAGGGAGGAGGGGGAAGGCAGGAACTGGAGAAAAGACAGCAGGGGGAGAACGGGCGATGGTGCGTGGAAGAGGGAGGAGGGAGGACGGGAGAAGGAGGACGAAGGAACTGCAAGTAGGGAAGGCGATGGATGGGCCAGCCTGGGGCCAGGAAGAATGAGGGACGGAGGAGCAGGAGGAGTGAGGAGGGAAGATAATGAACAGGAGGATGAAGCAAGAAGGTGGGGCCTGTGGTGAGGCTTCCTTCCCTGGCCCTCTGAGGGTGTCCTTGTCATTGTCGTTGCAACTTCTGTTCAACCCGTACTTTTGATCCTCACACGTTTTGTGGCCCCTTATGGGGGCTGAAGGCCCCAGCTGCAGGAATCGAATGCGAGACCGCGCCCATTTTGGCACACCCCTCACACGCTTCGTGGCTCCATAGGGAGATCCACCGAAGGCCACAATGGCAGGAATCACATGCGTGACCCCGCCCATTGTGGCGTACCCCTTACACGCTTCGTGTCCCCATGGGGCGCCCCACCGAAGGCCCTAGTGGCAGTACTCGCGTGCGTGAGTGCGCTGATTTGGGCACATTCCTCGCACGCTTCTTGTTCCCACAGGGAGCTCCACCGGAGGCCCCGCCGCCTGCTGCTCCCCAGGGCGGCGCCGACAGACGCGCATATCATCCGCAACAGGGCACATCTAGATGTGACCAGTCACGGCTGACTGCTGCGACCCCATCGGCAATGTCATTCCGTCCTTCCCACGCGCGCCTTATTTTTTTGCTGGCCTTCCCCTCAGCTCTTGTCTTGTGGTACTCACACCTGCACATGGTCGGGCCCCTCGCCAGGATAAGTTAAAGTTGCTTTGCTAGGTGTTGTTGATTGCTTCCAGCTGGTTTCAATCAAGTATAATTGTTTTGAGTGGTTCCACTTGATTATAGTTTGTTTCAGGTGGTTCTAATTCGTTTAGAAGTGTTTAGATGCTTTCAAATGACTCGCGTTTGTCGAAGCAGCTTTCAAAGTGGTTTCAATTGACATATGATTGCAACTCAGTCACATTTGGGACGCGTGCCCTGGTTTCTGCACGAGGGAGCGCCCAAGAGTCGCGACCAGTGGCCAGGGCCGTGGGCCCGAAGACCAGGGGAGGGGAGGGGGGACGAGGCGAGGGGCTGAAAACAAAACCAGGGGCCGGAGAATTACGACGGGGACAGGGACAGGAGCCTGACGACCACGGCCACAAACAGAAAGAGCTCCTAGAACGTGGCCGTGCAAGCGAATCAATGTTTCAAGGGGCTGGGGCGACGCCCTAAGGCCAGGGCCAGGAGGAGCGAAGAGCCTTCGGCCAGGCCCAGGGGCCAGGGCCAGTACAGTCCAGTTGTTCGAAGGCCTCCTGGGAGCTTCTTGGGGGCCTCTGGAAGGCCTCTGGGAGGCCTCTTGGTGCCTATTGAGGGCCTCTTTCGGGCATCCTGGGCATCTCGAGGGCGCCTTGGCCCTCAAGCGGCGCTCTTGCGCCGTCTGGCCCCTTCGGAGGCCGTCTTTGGGTCCTCTCGGGGCCACCTTGGGCCTCTCTTAGGGTCCTCTTGGGCCGTCTTGGGAGCCTCTTGAACTGTCTTGGCGGCTTCTTTGGGCCACCTTGGGGCCCTCTTGGGCCGTCGTGGGGCCCTCTTGGGGGCTTCGTGGGCCGTCTTTGGACCATCTTGGAGGCTGCTTGGGCTGCTCGTGGGAGCCCTATTGGGGCCCTCTGGGGCCGTCTTGGAGGCTCTTGGGCCATCTTGGGGCCATCTTGAGCTTACTGACGGTGATCTTGGGTCTTGGGCCGTCTTGAGACCATCTTGAGCCGTCTTGAGGCCCTCGTGGACCCCCAGGGGGCCCGAGACGCCGACACAGGTGACTTCCCCATACGTTGGTGCATTTTTGAAACCCAGAATGGGGGCCGTCAACTTGGTCCGCCGATACGTCGCGACTCCAGGGGGGGCAGGGGGGGCACATGAGAGTGTCAAGTAGTACACTCGATCGCAAGTATACAAGATGGGACACATAGGCCACGTTGCATTGAGGCGTTCGTCGAAACATGCTGCTGCTCAGCACGTCCCTTGCAGACGTGGATTTATGACTTACGCCGCACCGCCGACCCCTGGGGGCCCCTGGCTCCCGGAGCGGGAGTCATCCAAGGGCGTATTTGGGAGCTTTTCAGAGCCTTTGGGCGGCTTCCTGTGGGCCTCTAGGTGGCATCTGCGCCTCGCTCGCCAGACGCGCGCTCCCGCCGGCGCCGCTGCCGCGGCGCGGCGTCGGAGACGACCCCGCACGCTCGGGCGCCATGCTCGCCGCCCCCTTCGCTGGGCGGTCACCGCGGCCGCGCGCCTCGCGCCAGGGTCCGGCCGCGTCGTCCGCCTCTGGTGCGGCGCCAGTGCCGCGACGCCGGCGGGCGCGCTTGGGAGGGCGTGCCCCGGGCAGAATCGGGCGGGCGGCGATGGGCAGGAAGGCACCAACTAACACCGATCCTGGCCAGGATCACTCTGGGCCCAGGATCGGTGTATACGCCCTCCTGCCTCTGGCAAGAAGGCATCTACACCGATCCTGGGCCCAGGGTGGTCCTGGGCCAGGATCGGTGTTGGTGTATATAGTTGGTGCCCTCCGGATGGGGGGTGCCTGGACTGGGGAGTGAAGAAGACAAGGGGCCCTAAGAGGGGGCTCCTTTTTAGGGCCTCTCTTGAAGCCACCAGGGGCCCTGAAGGGCACCTCGGGGGCCCTTTTCTGCACCACCCATGTAGGCCATCCCCCCTTGCAGTGCCGTTATTCATACATGCTCCGCGCGCGGATCATGCATTATGCAAGGGCTTAGTACTAAAAACAGCGATGAGCTCATGCATAAATTTAGCCATGCACTAACCATGTATTAGAAATCCAACTGTTTTTTTTATACATCCTATGTATTAATCGGCGGCGGGCGCGGGGGGGAAATGAAAAGGGGCGGGACTTCCGAGGCTTCTGAGAAGTTTCTGGACTTCTTAGAGGGCTTCTGAGAAGTTCTGTCTGCATTCGAAATAGGCCGAGGAAACGTCTCAGAAGCCCCCCGGACTTCTAAGAAGTCCCGCGGCCTTCTGAGGAGGCCTTCTCCTGATCATTTCCCCTGCTCGTCGCCTAATTAAAACCTGCCCTGTACCACCCGCCCGGTAGACGGAGAGGCTGCCGGCGCGCTGTCCGGCGACGCTCCTCCTGGGCGGGGTGCGCTTCGCCGGGGGCAGCTCTGCCGAGTGCGCGCGCGCAGCGCCCTGCGCGGCTCCCGACGGCCTCCAGATCCCAGACTGACCAGGGTTTTTCAGAGCCCCGAATCATCAGGGGTAACTCGGGTCAGGATTAGCTCGGGTTCGTTTTTCGGGAATCCGAACCCGACTTACCCCGGACCCGACTTACCCCGGATAGTTCGGGCGTCCAGAGCCCCGAATCATCAGGGGTAACTCGGGTCAGGGATAGCTCGGGTTCGTTTTTCGGGAATCCGAACCCGGCTTACCCCGGACCCGACTTACCCCGGATAGTTCGGGCGTCCAGAGCCCCGAATCATCAGGGGTAACTCGGGTCAGGGATAACTCGGGTTCGTTTTTCGGGAATCCGAACCCGATTTACCCCGGACCCGACTTACCCTGGATAGTTCGGGCGTCCAGAGCCCCGAATCATCAGGGGTAGCTCGGGTCAGGGCAGCTCTGCCGAGTGCGCGCGCGCAGCGCCCCAGTTCCAGCAAGTCTTTTGATACTAACATTGAAGCTACGAACCTGAGAATTGGACTGTCAGACGCGGCATAACGCACTACACGTGAGAAAAGTACTCGCTCTGGAGACGAATTTCAGAATTTCTCGAGATATCCGACAAACCGCCCTCAAGTTGACACATTGGTCGGGTCTGCCAACTAGCTCCACCCTGCGCCCGAATTTCTCTCAGCAGCTCCCGACGGCCTCCAGATCCCAGACTGACCAGGGTTTTGCTAGGGGAGCAAAAAGTGGCATAAACATAAAAACTCGGAGGTCCGCGCGGATTTCTTGGATCGGCGCTGGGGCCCCCCAGCGGCGCCTCCGGCGCCGCCCCTGGCGCGCGGAGCGCGCCAGGGAGGGGGTCCAGCACCGATCCGAGAAATCCGCGCGGACCTCCGAGTCTTTATGTTCATGCCACTTTTTGTTCCCCTATTTGCCGGGCGCCGGCGGCTGCGCGTCGCGCGCCGTCGGCCGCTTGTCAGAACGCGACCGCTGCGCGCAGCATGGGCGCGGATCGGGCGGCCCCAGTCCTCCTCCCCAGCTGCCGCCGCTCCTCCTCCCTGAAGTCGACGACGACAACGACGACGACGACGACGACGACGACGACGACGACGACGACGACGACGACGACGACGACGACGGCCCCGACGACGACAGCCCCGACGACGACGGCCCCGATGGCAGCGCCCCCGGCCGACACGCCGACGTGCCGACCGACCGGCCAACACGCCGACCGACGGCGGCGGTGACGACGAAGGCGACGACGACCACGCCCCAGGCGCTGGAGGAGCGGCTGCGGGCCGCGCTGGAGCCCGTGCTGAGCGACGTGGGCGCCGAGGACCCCCCGACGACTCCGCGCGGGGCCCCCGCGCTGCGTCGGCTCCGCGGAGGCCCCCAGGCACAGGCCACCGCGTGACACTGAGAGGGGCCTTGCGCACAGAGCGCGCTCCGCTAGTCGCACAAAATGCCTACTCGCAAATGTTCGAAAGTAGTCGTGCACCTGGATGTGCATTGGGGGCCCGTGCCAAGAAACACCCTGCTTGCCTCCAGGGTGCCCTGGGTTTGTCGGGTTTCGATGGCTTTGCGATGAGAAGCGTGACGTTCCCGCGCCAGAAATCGATGGACGTCCTGGGGTCTGAGGGTTGGGTTTCTTGTTGCAGGTTTCTTGTGGATTGGCCTCCACTGTAATATGTCGTAGATCTCCCGCGGCAGATCGAGGCCATTTGCGAGTAGTTGCTTTGCGAGTAGTGGAACGCGCTTGTCTACTTGCGGCCAGCTCCGCCCGCCCTGAGAGTCAGAGGAGGACAAGGCTCGGGGGCCCCCAAACGGTGCGGTGACGACGCCGCGTGGTGAGTCAGTGGGGATTCGGGGTCGGTTTAGGGATTCGGGTGGTCTCCGAGGACGTCTCGGGCGATTGGGGCCTCGGGCCCCCACGCTGTGCGGGGGCGGACCGCGCGGTCAGGTCGCTGGGGGGTCCGAGGTCACCACGCGGTCCCTCACCACACCTGTCCTGGGGCCCCGAAGGCACACCGATATACCGTGGCCCGTCCCTCGCCGCCACGGCGGGACTCGCTTCGACACGGCGGGGGCTCTGGTTACGGAGTGCGCCCAGGAAGATCAGGGCCCGGAGGATCCCTTGTCTGCTTGTAGGGCGGCGGCGACGCCCATGGCCAGGCCTCGAGTGGAGCTCCGCTGGCCTCCAGACCCTGGATTCCTTATCCGATGCTTCCTCATCCACTGCCCTCACCGCAGCCTGGTCAGAACGCTCCCCAGGGGAGGTCTGCCCTGGCTCCTGATCCGCCGTACTTTGGATGATTTTCCGACCTAAAATTGTGTCGGAAATCGACGCCAAAGGAGCCTCAAGGGCGGAAGTCGACGCTCAAAGGGGCCTCAAAAGTAGGGCGGAAATTTCCGCCCTACTTTCGAAATCGCCCAAAGTAGGGCGGATCAGGAGTCAGGGTGGGGAGCAGCGACACCGGCACGTGCCGCCGCGTCCTTCGTTCCGACGCGCGGCGTCCTCGCCTCGGGGAGGGCGCCGCGGCCACCGGGGCGAACGCCGCCCCGCGGGCGCGGTGGGCTTCCCGTGGCTTTGCCGTGGTGCCGGCGTCGTCTCCTTGGGCGTGGGGCGCAGGGTTTGCCGTGGGTTTGCCGTGGTGTCGGCGTCGCCCTCTCGGGCGCGCCGAAGACGAACCGCGCGGCGACACGGCTTCGCCCCGCCAGAGGAGGGAGCACCTTGGGCTCAGGAGGCGGCGGGAGGGGCAAGGGGCCAGCGGCAGCGGCGGCTCCGATGCGAGGGCGGGAGCCCCATGGCCTTCGGCCCATCGTGCCTGGTACCGTCTCATTGGATTTCACGTGTGCCTCTTCCATTCGCAGCGACAGCGCCAGGCCTGCCGCGCCGCGCGTGCCGCCAGCCCATCAGCCCCCGCAGTGCGGGGCGCCTTTCCTGTCCGCTGCGGAGGGTGAAGCGCCAGTCCCGACGGTGTCACGATGGTGCCCGCAGTGTCACGATGGTGCCGCAGTCCCGAGCAAGCCGCTGTTGCCACACTTCGGGCTCCAGGGTCCGGGCCTCCTTCTGGGCACCTCCCTCCCTCCCCCAGGTCGGCCCCGACTTCGGCGAGCCAGAGAAGCGGCAGGGGCGCCTCGCGCGAGCCGTTGGGCCTCCCCCCTTACAGTCGGGGCCCTGAAGAAGGAACCCTTTTCGTGGGGGAGGGGCTCCGTGTTCCTTGATTGTTTCACAGTTTGCCTTGGGTTTCCGTTGGTTTTCGATGGGAAATCGAAGTTCAACTTGTGGATGAAAGGGGCCTCGTTCCTTATTTAGGGTTCCTTAGGTCAAAGCCCCGACTGTATCGCGGACCTCGGGCGTCCTCGGTGACTCGGAGCGGCGCTGGAGGTCTCCTGCAGGTTTCGGCGCCCACGGGCGCCGAGGACCCTGGAGAGAACTCGGCGCGCGGTGCCCCCGCACTGCGCCGCGGGCCCCGTGCGCGATTGCCGGGGCTCGGCGCCCTCGGGGGCTCGAGGATTGAGGATGTCAGCTGTATATGTTCTTAGGCTCGACCTTAGTGGGCCCTGGAAACGACAGGGCCGTTTTTTTACCGGTTCCGTCCTGCCGTTTTTTGGCCAGTTCCGACGCCGTTTTTTCACCGGTTCCGTCGCCGTTTTTTGACCGGATCCGGCCCCGGTTCCAGTCCTGGAGCCGTTGTTTCGCCGTTTCCGGTCGCCTTTTGTTGCCGTTTCAATTTTCAAGGGACGCTTTTCTGGAAACGGTGAAAAAAACGGCCCTGCCGTTTCCGGGGCCCACAAAGTTCTTAGGCTCGACGTATCTGAGGACCGAGGGCATATGGGTGTGCTTCGAGAGGCGAGGTTTTCGATGTTCGAGAGACGAGGTTTCCCGGCTTCGGGGGTTCAGGTTTTCGAGGTTCGAGGGTCGATGATTCGTGCTTTTGGACGCTTCCACCCGTTAAGGGCCTCCGAGGGTCACTGGGCGCATCTGGAAGCTCGGCGCGGCGCGGTGCTTCGACTCGAGGACGCCTCGCCTGGCTCCTGGCTCGGCACCCTCGGGTCTCGTTCTCCCTGTCGTCATCGGTGCTCTCCTCGTCCTTCCCCTCCTTTTCTGGCCTTCGGGGGGGGACCTCGTCGCCACGGCCAGACGCAGCTCGAGAAACTGGAGGGGTCTGGGCTCTGGGTCTTCCTCCTCCTCCTCCTCCTCCTCCTCCTCCTCCTCCTCCTCATTCTCCTCTTGCTGCTTTGCCTCCTTCTTCTTCTCTTGGGCCCCGCTCGCTGCTGGCTTCCTCAGCAAGTCGCTGGTGATACCTCCTCTTGCGAACTTGATGAACTGGGTCGTGGGCGCCTGGTGGATCTCCTCGAGGCGCGACAGCGTGATGACCTTAGCCCCTGCAGCCTCCAGCGTGCAGGTGCCCGATGCCCGTCGCCGCTCCTTCTGGGGGCACGGTGGAGCCCACCCACCCTCTCCCTCCTGCTGGGCACCCTTCTACTGCTGCCTCCTCCCAGCCTTGACCGCACATGGACATACAGTCGGGGCCTTGAAGAAGGAACGCTTTTCGTTGGGGAGGGGCTCGGTGTTCCTTAAGTGTTTCGCAGCTTGCCTCAGGTTTTCCTCATGTTTTCGATCGGAAATCGGAGTTCAACTTATGGAAAAAAGGGGCCTCGTTCCTTATTTTGGGGTTCCTTAGGTCAACGCCCCGACTGTAATATTCGAACCCTGTGGCCCAAGATGCCCCCAGACCCCAGACCCCCCGAAATTGGTATGGATGGCGTGGCGACGGGGGGAGCGTGAGTGGGCAGACATATTCGAACCCCGAAGCACCGCCTTTACTGAGATCAACATTAATGTCGGGGGCGCAGGGGTTATTTAGAATCTCCCTCCTCCTCTTCTGCTGGTCCTCCTCCTCCTCCTCCTCCTCCTCCTCCTCCTCCTCCTCCTCCTCCTCCTCCTCCTCCTCTCTGCGCTCGCTTTCATTTGCGGGCCGAATTTCGTGACATTTTCGTTGCGTGTCGTCGCGCTTCTGAGCTTTGCGATGGGTGCCGTCAAAGCCCCCTGGAGGGGATGCGGACTCAATACGAAACCGGAGCTGTGGTAGTTGGTGGGCGTTTGCGGTTTGAAAAAAAAGAATCTCCCTCGAATGTGTAAGGGTTCGAATCTGTTGTCCATCTACTGGATCTTTGAGGAATCGGGTGATTTCCGAAGCACCCCACTGCTTGGGCGCTCCAGATACCACAACCTCGGCTTTCCGCTTGGCTGCTCTTCGTGTGGTAGACGCACTCCAAGTTGCGAGCGCCCTCCCATGCGGAAGGCGAGTCCTTCTCCCCTGTCTCCTCGGAGCGCCCTTTGAAGGTACTCCTTGGCTTCATCTTCCTCCTGCTGGTAGCACCATTCGACCGTGGGCCAGGCACTTGACTTGCCGAGCCGCTCCGCGAGGATGCTTCGCCGGCCCGAGGTGGCCAGCACCGCTGGAACGGATTCCTTCGGTCACTTGGCATGGTCCACAATGCTCACAGTCTCCTGGTTCCCAGACTTGTTCTGCGCGTTCCACCGGCACGTGTACAGAGTGTTCAAGTTCTCCGCGTCTGTGAGGAAGATGCTCGCTGGCCTCTTCACTGTTGCCTTCCATGCCTTATCTTCCATCGAACTCCCTTGCCGTCAGGACTCCGACCGCCTCGACCTCGACCTCCTGGACAGGCGATTTTTCTCCTAGCTCACCTCGTGCTGCCTGGGTGGGCTGTCCGAGCTCCGGGAGACCAGCTTCGCTCACCAGTGAGGGCACTCGGAGCCTGGCCGATTTCTTGTTGCCCGCCGAGCCACAGGACCCTGAGCCACCTCTCCTCCTCTCCCTTCTGCGCCTCCTCCTCCTGCCCCTGTGGCCAGCCAAGGACGACGGCTATCTTTGACGTCATGCCGTAAGCATCTCAGCGCAGGCATCTTCGCTGAGTCAACCTGCACGGAGGAGGGGGAGGAGGAGGAGGAGGAGGAGGAGGAGGAGGAGGGGGAGGAGGAGGAGGAGGAGGAGGAGGAGGAGGAGGAGGAAGAGGAGGAGGAGGGGGAGGAGGAGGAGGAGGATCTCACGCGAGCTTGGCCCGCGTGACCTCCACGCCCTCTGCCCCTGCTCCGGGAGTCTTGCCACCTGCGGCGCCGCGAGGGCTGGCTCTGGCGGCCGGTCCCCTGGCCAGAGCCGCAGATTGGGCCGGCCTCGCGCCTCTGTCTTCCATTCTTAGACCAGGGGATCAGCTGCAGAGTTGCTTTACCCCTAAATCGAGCTCTTCGTCGAGTCCACGAGGAAACGACGACACTTCGACGTCTTTGCTTGTAGATTCGATGGGGAA